AATTTTTATTCCTTTATTTTTTATGTTAATTTTCTCATTTTAATTTTTGTTTTTTAAATTTAAATTTTTATTTTTATTTTATTTTTACCCATTTAAAAAAAATATTATTTTAATTTTTAAAATATATTTTTATTTTATTTTGCTTTTCCAACAGATGGAAGCCCCCCGTGTCTCCTTTGCTGGCACTGTGCACGTTTTTGATAGCAGAGAAACACACTGGGCAGAAATCTCCATGGAAACCCTACCTGGATGTTCTCCCCAAGGCTTACACTTGCCCTGCTTGTTTGGAACCTGATGTCATAAATCTTCTCCCAAAACCCTTAAAAAAGAAAGCTCAGGAGCAAAAAATGCTGATCCAAGAGCTGTTCCAATCTTCCAGAGCTTTCTTCTCTTCCCTGCAGCCTTTATTTGCTGAGGACACAGGAAACATTTTTAATTTCAGTGCTTTGCAGTGGGCTTGGTGCACTGTAAACACCAGGACAATCTACATGAAACACCCACACAGGGAGTGTTTCTCCCTGGAGCCAGATGTTTATGCACTGGCACCATATTTAGATTTGCTAAACCACAGCCCAAATGTTCAGGTAAGAAGCTCAAAATAGATCAGTAAATTTCTTTATTTTTATCAAGTGCTCTCTGTCAATGCCAGCTGCGTTTCTGTGATGGATGATGAGTGTGGGGAGGGCAGGGGGAGATCTCACAGGGGGAGAAATGGCTCAGATCCTCAGGAACTGCAGTGCCAGGACACAGGGAATGGCTTCCCACTGCCAGAGGGCAGGGCTAGGTCGGTTTTGGGAAAAAATCTTGTCCTGGCAGGGTGGGCAGGGGCTGGGATGGAATTCCCAGATCCCCGTGGATCCCTGGCAGTGCCCAAGGCCAGGTTGGACACGGGTTTGGAGCAGCCTGGGACAGTGGGAGGTGTCCCTGCCATGGCAGGGGTGGGATGAGATGTTTCAAGTCCTTCCCAGTCCAAACATTCAGTGATTCTATAATTTAAATATTTCAGTTGATGCAGGAGACCCTACAGTGGCTGGGGGAGATTTGCATCCAAAACAGCTTTTGGGAAGAGCCACTTAAACAAACATCCCCCTGTTCTGCTCCTAAAAGTAAGACAAATTCCTTGTCCTGACACAAATTCCATGGTCTCTGTGTTACTTCACCTCTGGCTGAAGCCTCAGAGCAGCCTGAGGGGAGTGCAGAGGGAATTCTCACCTTCTGTCAGGCTCTGGGTGCCACCTCTGAGCTGGGGCAGCACAGAAGAGGCCAGCCCTGCATGGAACCGTCTCTGTTTGCAGATCTGGGTCTCTCCAAGAAGTCCCCACAACTGAACAAGAACTTCAGTCCTCTGGGGTTTCAAAGTTTAAAGATTTGTTTCCTTTTTCACCTTACCAAGGGTAAAAACCTTTTATTTTTCACTCACTGAAGGTCAAGGCTGGGTTTAACGAGCAGACAAGGAGCTATGAAATTTGGACAGAGTCACAATGCAAAAAATACCAGGAAGTTTTGATCAGCTATGGACCTCATGATAATCAGAGGCTGCTGCTGGAATATGGATTTGTTGCCATGGACAACCCTCACAGCAGTGTTTATGTCTCAGCAGGTTGGATTTATGGATTGTCTGAGCATTGAAAGGCACAAAAACTGAGAACTGAGTGTGTAAATTATCAAGGAGTGAAAAAGGTTTTGACATCTCTTTGCATAAACATTAATGATTTAATTTTTTCTTAATTGAAAATAGTTTTTGTTATAATTTTATTTTTAAAAATTGTTATTATTAACAACATCTGTGTAGTGATTCCAGCTGGATGTCTTAGGATGCACCATTGAGGATTGCAATTCAGACTCCACAAACTGAACTTCCTTAGAGTTTTTCATAACTTAAATTTGAGTCAGAATTTCTGTTATAAGGACAAAATCCTGGAGAGTGCTGATAGCTTTTGAGAATTCTGAAAAGTTCACCAAAATTTAACAGGTTTTGATCTTAGTCCTACATGAAAAATATGGTTGAAATATTTTTTCAGAATTGATGACTGTGGTTTCTCTTTACATACAATTTATTAAAATATTTAAACTGTACTTTTTGCAGATACTCTCCTCAAATATTTCTCACCACTGGACAAGCAGAGAGAGGCCAAAGTTTCCATTCTAAAGGATCATGATTTCCTAGAGTAAGTTTCTGTAGTTTTTATTTTCCTGGACAGGTTTTACTAAGGTTTTCTGGGAGTCAAATTTTGCTTCTAGTACCAAAATCCAGCAAAAAAATATAATTACTTGTTTTTTAGCAAACTAGCTGCTTGGGAGTGATGGAGAAGTTGTAAACACCAGTATCAAAGCTGGAGATCTTGCATGGCTGATGTGTCTCAGGAAGAAAACTCACTCTAAAGCTCAGCTGAACTTCATCTCGTCCCTTTGGCTTTGTAGGAACCTGACCTTCGGCTGGGAGGGACCATCCTGGAGACTCCTCACAGCCCTCAAGGTGCTGAGTCTGGCAGCTGATGAATTGTGAGTTGGAGCACCCTGGAGATCCATTTGGTGCATGTGCAGGTGCCTTTGCTTTGATTGCATGGAATCACCAAGGTGGGAAGAGCCCCTCAGGATCACCCAGAGCCACCCCAGCCCCACCAGCATCATCCCCAAGGCCACATCCAGACTCCTCTGGGACAATTCCAGTGACTCCAAACCTCCCTGGGAGCTCATCCCAAGGCCTGACCACTCTGCCAGGGAAATTTTCTTTCCCAATCTCCAACCTGAGCCTCCCCTGGTGCCACTTGAGGCCATTTCCTCTCCTCCTTCCCTGCTCCTCCTGTCAGGAGCTGTGGGGAGCAATGAGGGACCCCTGAGCCTTCTTTTCTCCAGGCTGAGACCCCCCAGCTCCCTCAGCTGCTCCTCACAGGATTTGTTTTCCAGCCCATTCAATATTTTCTGTTTCCCCTCACTCTTTTCTCTCTGCTGGCTGTGAGTGACACACTGGGACAATTTTTGGATCTCCTGTGTCTGTTTTGTTGACCCCATGGGAGCAGTGAAAAGAAGAAAGGCAGAGAACAGCACTGACTGTAAACTCACTCCCCTATTGCTGCTTTGGTGATTTTCTTTCTTTTATCATTTTTCCTTTCTATTTCAAGCCCCAGATATTCCCTCAAGGTTGAGGCTCCAAGCCTTTTTCCTGTTGATTTGATGAAATTTTAAATGCTCTTAACCTGGCTTGATTTCCTTGAGTCATGTGTTCCACAGGCTGAAATTCCAGGGCCAAGGAAGTTGCTGAAATTCATCTCCAGGGATTTTCAGTGCACTTGGAGCATTTATTCCAAATGGCAAATCTGCCTCAAACATCAGGGGTGGAAAATGATTACCTGCACTTTGCTTGGGATAAATGAAATGAGGGAATAAATTAATGACAAAAGGCTTGTTCAGAGTTGTTTGTGCTTTGAAGATCCATTGCTGAGTGGAATAAATTGATCTAAGAACTAAAAATAAATCCCTGGGGTGGGTTATGAGCCCAGGTGAGGGCCAGGGCAGCAGAGCCACGTTTGGCATCCAGCTGGAGAGTGCAGCAAATAATTCTGTATTCTTCAACCATTTGGGTTCCAGTGCCTGCTGGAAGAGGATCCTGCTTGGTGATGTCACTTCAGCCAGGAATGAACAGCAGGCTTTGGGTACAGCAACAAAAATCTGTCAGTTTTTAATAGAGGAGACCCAGCATGTCCTTCTCCAGGTAATTTGGAAAAACAAGGGAGCTCAGATTCCTTTCTCTGTCAGAACAATGTCATTTTTTGGGTGAGAATTTTGATGACTTTTCCCTTTCCCTCTTTTTTGTTTTTTCCTTTTTACTGAGATAGAGTGAAAATTTAATAGAGTAGAAATCTATTTAGATTTAGATAAAATGTGCTACTTTGAGCTTGTTAAATATGTTGTTTAGTTTAGTGACTACAGCCCTAAAAAAACTACCCCAACTAAAGAAAAAAAAAAATACAAATTTTCACACTAAAAGATAAAAGATAAATAAAACTCCTCAAACCATGAAACAGACAAGGCAAAGTGACCCAGAAGTCCTTTCTGTACTTTCTAACAAAAACTAAGTACAAGTGTAACTAGCTATAAGTGTGATATAAAATCAACAAAATATATATACATTAACATATTGTAAAATTCTATACATACAAAAATTAGTTAAAGTAATAAAAAAAAAAATCAAGAGTTCTCAGAAATACACATATCCATTAAAGAACAGTAAGTCCCAACATACATCCACAGCACTATAAATAAACATACCCCTTCCCCACAAATCTTTATTAGAATTATAAAATTTAATTTTTCCTCTACATTTCATTACTACTAAAGTTTCTCTTGTGGAATTGAAAAAAAACACTATTTTAACATAATCAATAAAATCCTTACATATTTCCACAAATTTTCTCATCGGGTCCTGTTAAATAATCAAAATTTTGAATAATTTCATCCCATTTGTCTCAACTCCAGATTTCCCAGTTGAAAAGGGACAAAGAGAACCTCAAAACCCACCTGGCTTTGGTGGAAATGCTGCGCTTAGAAGACCTCAAGATCCTTCAGAAATCAGCTGAGATTCTTTGCAACTTGAATTTAGGAACAGCTTGAGCTCCCTGGAGCTGTGACAGCTGTAATTGGTCAGGGATTATTGCCAGATTAATACTCTTTTAATGGACCTGAGCAGCAAAGAATAATTAAAAAATTCATCATAGTAATTTTGTTCCTTGCTGACCTTCACACAAAAGGTTCTGCTGAAGTGGAGAGCTCGAGCTCCTTGGTTTGGAGAAAAGAGAATTTTTTTAAAAGGGCATTTCAGGGCAGGACTCTTATTTAACCTGCAGAAACTTTATTTGGAATTGGGGTTCTCTTGTGATTATTATCCATGATGTGATTTTAAAAAGTGCTTATTTTTATAAATATATTACTTCATTTTCTACAAGACTTGTCTGTTTTATTTTTCTAAAATCCTTTCTGGAGATGGATCTCTATTTCTTATATCCTCGAGGTGAATTTACCTTAGATTTGCCTAAATTGTGTTTTTAGGTCACTTGCCACCATATTTTACACTCTAATCAGTCTCATTAAGCCCTGATCAGTTTAGATTGGATATCAGCAATTTTTTTTTCATGGAAAGGGTTGTAAAACATTGGAACAGGATACCCAGGGAAGAGTCACCCATCCCTGGGAGTGTCCAAAAATGTGGATGTGGCACTTGAGCACGTGGTCTGATGGTGACCGTGGGGTGATGGTTGGACTTTGAGCTTAAAGTCTTTTCCAGCCTTAAGATTCTGGGATTTTCTGGCTCTGAAGTGCCTCCAGAGATTCCTTTGGATTTGGGAATGCTGTTCTGCTGGGAATTCTCACCAGTTTCTCCTTGTCCTCCTGTGCCTGCCTCAGCCCTGCCCCTCTGACTATTTGACCTTCCTTTAATAAACCCCTTTTCTTTCTCTAACACCAGCTGTGTTTCTAATTTTACCATTTTATCACAAAATGAGCAGAGTTAAAGGAGATAAGGATGTTTGGCTGGTTTATTTCTG